CAAGGTGAGCGCTCTACCACTTGAGCTACAGCGCCACTTCCGGTTTTCTGGTGGTTTATTGGAGATAGGAGTCTCACGGTCTCTCCTGCCCGGGCAGACCTGCCCGGGCTGGCTTTGAACAGCGATCCTCAGATCTCAGCCTCCTGAGTAGCTAGGATTACAGGCATGAGCCACCAGCACCCGGCTTTGAAGTAATTTTTTAAAAAATAATTTCTTGCAGTGTCTTTCCTGAACCATTGCCTAAAATCCTTTCCACTACGGATTGTAAATTCAGGCTGTCCGTATGCGGAGGGAGCACATTAGTACACTCTCTCTAGAGGGCAGGGCTCTCAGCCAAAACAAGTCGCACCAGCCACCACCTCCTGTCTTCTACCCCTTCCCTGCCTTTCCCAGGCTTAAAGGGCCAGAATGGTCAGAGGAGCACAGACCTCTTAGAGCTTGGACTTCACACATGGGGCCTGACCCTGTCTACCTGTCAGGAGAGTACGTAAGTGTCTGATAAAAGAAAGCAGATTAAACAGGCTTAGTTTCTCCTCCCCAAGAAGTGTAGCTGGAGCCAAGAGGGAGAGCACTAGCCTTGAACAAAACAAGCTCAAAGACAGCACCCAGTCCCCGAGTTCAATGTGCACGCACACACACACATTGGAAGGTAAATGTGGGTTTCCAAATTCAGCAAGCGTAGTCAAAAGAATCCTTGACAGAGAAAGAGAGGGATGGTCTTGAGTTTAGCCAGAAAGCCTGCCATCTTTACGGTGTGTCGACAAGCGATCTAACGGTGTCACATGGCTGCCCTTCCACTACAACACCACAGGGTCACCTCTGCGATGTTGATTAAGGGAAGGGGGGGGAAGTTCTTATGTATTATCTGGTTTTTATTTATGGGTATGTACTGTTTGGGGATCTTTAAAAAGCCATTCTAATTTTAAAAGCCGTGAAAGATGAAAAAGAGAGCAGGCAGCTTGAAGCGTCATAACATGTGACTCAGTAGTGCACGGCCCTGTGGGCTCAAAGCTCCTCTCCCCCCTCCCCGCCCCCTCCCCCCCAGTGCAGCCCATGGATTGGCTCCCCCAGACTGTTTCCTTCCAGAGCCACTAGGGGGAGCACTGTGGCCCACGGACAGGCACAGCCTCGACCGCCTGTGTTCCCCGCAGCTCCGGCTTAGATAGATGGTCCTTGATGATGGAGGTGATGACCCTTCACCGTGAGGCATGAAGAGCTATTTGTCTTGTGACTGTTTCTTAGCTATGATGAGGGAAAGCAAAATGGTCTTTGCTTTTTTTTTTTTTTTTTGGGTCCGGTCGTGGGGCCTGAACTCTGGGCCTGGGCGCTGTCCCTCAGCTCTTCAGCTCAAGGCTAGCGCTCTACCACTTGAGCCACAGCGCCACTTCCGGCTTTTTTCTTTTTTGCTTATGTGGTGCTGAGGAATCGAACCCAGGGCCTCAGGCATGCAAGGCAAGCGCTCTACCACTGAGCCACCTTCCCAGCCCTGGTCTTTGCTTTTAAAACATTCTTCCCACAACATCAGATGAATCATACCATTTGAAAATCCCCTTTTGGGGCGGGGTGGGGGGGGTGGGGAGGAATGAGGTCGAACCTGTGGACCATCTAGCCTGGGAGGAGAAAAATCTAGTTCTCCAGTCTCTTAACCTCTCCGATTCTATGTGTAATGGAGTTAGGCGACAGAAGCTGGGACTGATCCACCAGCTTTCCCAGGACAACTGTGAGAACCACGGGGGGGGGGGGCATCCACCTAAAACCTGCCCTCTCCTTTGAAATGGTAAAACTTGGCACCTCTCTGTGAATGGTAGCCACGGGGGGGGGGGTGAGAGGCTCCCTGAGGAAAGCCCTTTAAGGCGCACCTATTGTCTCTGAGGTCACCTATTGTCCTAATTAGGGTAGGCCTAGGGACATCTCCATATTTTAGTATACTAAATAACACCCACTTAGCTACCCAGAAACATTGCCTAAGGGGGGGAGGAAGGCTGCTAGCCAGCCACGCCCATCTCCCCCCACCCCCCCAGGAACAAAGGCAGCCCATAAAGGCTTCCATTTTGAGTCTTTAACTCCCCTTTCCTGTACGGACAGCCAGAGAAAATCTCTCTCTCCTTCTCCCCCCCACCCCACCTTTCTCGGTCTCTCTCTCTCTCTCTCTCCCTTCTCTCCCTCTCCACTTTAACTTGGTCATACTAAAATCCTCGCTAAAACTTTCGCCTTGTGAGGCTCACTGATTGTGAGCGATGCCTTTCACACGTGCAGCTTGAGGGCCTGTAGTTTTCCAAGGAAATCAGGAAGCTGCGGGAAGCCTGGACCACTGACACCCAAGCAAGCAAGCAAGCAGAGCGCCGAGGCTGAGAGAAGCCCTGGCTCAGGTGTGGTCCAGGGACCACAGGCGGGAATCCATCTCCCCACATCCCTTGAAATGCCACCGAGGCCTGCACCCTGCAGCGAAGAAAGCAGATGATAGGAGAGGAAGTGAGAGGTCCCCCCGAGGAACCCCTCTTCTCCCTGCTCCTGTCTTCTAGAGGGCGGGCCTTCCTGTGGGCTGTGTCCCTGGGGAGGCCTCGGTGAAGCTGCCTGGGACTGTTCCGGAAGTGGGGCAGGCGGCCGGGGAGGGGAGGCGGCAGGAATGTTCTCCTGGCCGGCCGGCCGCTGGGTGCTGCGAGCAGGCCTAGGGAGAGGAGGGCCTCCGGACATCAAAGGTTCCTTTTGTCCCTTGCGAGTGGCAGGGCAGCCCTGCGCTGGCAGTGACTCAGGCCTGGCCCTGACGTCACCCAGCGCCCAGCCACTGGTCTCCCTCTGCAGCCAGGAAACCGGCCGGGGAGTGGCCCTCACAGCTGCAGCTCATCTCAAAATAAGGAGACCGGCTCCCCATCTCCCCCACGGCACACCTTCCTTTGCTTTTCTTCTTCTCCTCCTCCTTTTTTAAGCCTGGAGGAAGGTTTGACGTGTGTATCAACTCTCCAAATGTAGGAAGCCAGAATGAGTGACGTCACTAGCAAACTATGTGGAACTGATCTTGACCCGAAGTGAAGGACCCAGAGCCAGAGGCAGCTGTGGCCCCCCGAGCCCAGGGAGTTGGCAGTGTCTGGGCTGCCCAGGACCCAGCATCTTCTCCGAGTAAGTGCAGGGCCACCCGTGGCCCCTCGCTCAGGCCCATACTGCGGTGCCATCTTGCTGCCTAACCCAAGGCCCACAGGCCCAGGCCAGAGGGGGGAGTGGGGCTACCTGGAAAGACCCTCTAGATTCTTCCCTAAAGGAACCTGAACTCCAAAGGACCAGAACCAATACACACACACACACACAAACACAAACACACATGGGTGCGCGCCCGCACACACACACAGGGACACTCAGGCTGCAGCCCCGGGGTGGGGTGGGGAGTGGCCCGCTGGTGCCTTTTCCTGTAAACCCTCCTGTTTGTCTGTCTTCGTCTTCCTGCGCTAGTATACTTTTGCCAGCTGCCAAAAGGTTTGCTCACAGTTCTGGATGTTTGCTTCCTGTAACTTCTACAGAGCAACCAGACATAAATATCAACCCTGCTCTAGACAGCGTCTCAAACAGTGTAACATAGCACCCTATGTCATCCAACGGTGGTAGCACCCTATACCATCCAATGGTGGTATTTTCACACTTAATTCTGGTAAGAGATGGCAGCCCTGATAGGCAACTTCCCCAAGGCCTGTCCTGGTCCTGTGGCCGGCAGCGGTAGCATGATCTCATCTTCCTCTCCAGAGGGCTGGCCCATGCCGCCCTGTCCGCCATGATGTTACGTACCACACATCAGGATGTCCCTCTCAGCTTCAGCTAAAAGCTCTGAAGGTTTTGACAAGCCCATCACATTCGGCTTGGGGACATGCCTCAAGAAATTTAAGTTCCCATAAAAACAGTATTTTTAACATGTACATAAGAACTGCAAGGCACAAAGATAAAGAATACCTCCCTTCTCCTGACTTCTGAAGGTATATGCTGAGTAAAAGTCTAGTTTTTGTATAGATTGCTGCATAGGGTGCATCTGTTCTTCACAAATTCTGAATCGAAATGATTGAGGGCATACTTTAAGAGGATTTTAAAAGTAATACTCAGGTTTGTCACTTACTGGAAGGTAGTGGCAAATTTGTGACCGAAAACTCTTTGAAATGAACTATACACTCTGATATATGCATTGTAGGTCTTAGGTTTTGTTGTTTTTGTTTTTAATAGGTTGGGGTATTTTGAAATGAGGCTTTGCTGTACTGACACTCTTCTTGCTGCAAGATCTGAGTGCCGTGACCACAAATGTGTGAGTGCTATTTTCCCTTTACATTTGATGTCTACTTCTACTTATTTGCTTTGTGGTAAGATTTTAAAGAAAAGGGAAAAGGGCACAGAGACTTCTACATACAACAGTAACAACTGCATGGAAGAGAATGAATGTGGCCAGGCATGGTGGCTCCCACGACAATCCCAGAGATCAGGAGGGTCTTGGTTCAAGGTCAACATTAGCAAAAAGTGACATGCCTATCCTAACTGACACGTGAGGTATGGTGGAACACACTTCTCATCTCAGAAGGGCAGAAGTAGGAGGATTGAAGTCTCGGGCTGCTCCCGGCGAAAATGTGAGACCCTACATGAAAAGCAACTAAAGCAAAAAAGCGGTGGGTGGACTGATATGTGTCTCAAAGCCCCTGCCTAGCAAGCTTAAGCTCTTGAGTTCCAACTCCAGTGCCACAGGGAAAAAAGAAGAAGAAGAAGAAAAAGAAGGTATAACAGACCAAAATGTACAATGGCTAAAACACAATAGAAGTTTATTTCTTGCGCATGTCACAGGGCAGGTCAGGGGGCAGCTATCTCAGATGCAGAGCTGGGGCTGTAGCTTTCCTGGTATTAAGGAAGCCAGGGTTCCAGCTGCAGTGCCACAAAAGAAAGCAGATAACAGTATCAACAAAAAATTCACACTCACAGGTTGAGCTATTTACTGAATAATGTGAGGTAAAGTTATAAGCCCTTCTAGTTCAGACAGTTCTCACAGTCACCCAGGAATATCTTGACTCCTCAGTGGAAAAAGGAAAGATACTGAAAAGGAGCACTTGGGAGGTTTTGGTTTTGGTTTTGGTTGGTCATGGGGCTTGAACTCTGGGCCTGAGCGCTGTCCCTCAGCTCTTCAGCTCAAGACAAAACGCTCTACCACTTGAGCTATAGCATCACTTCTGGTTTTCTGGTGGTTTATTAGAGATAAGAGTTTCATGGACTTTCCTGCCCGGGCTGGCTTTGAATCGCAATCCTCAGATCTCAGCCTCCTGAGTAGCTAGGATTACAGGTGTGAGCCACAGGTGCCCGACTTGGGAGGTATTTTATGACTGGAAAGTGTTACCATCTTCTACCTTTAGCCATTCTCATATTCTATTGGGTAAGCATCAGTCACATGCCCATGCTTAACCACAAAGCTGTCTGGGAACTGTAGTGCCTGAGGGGACAGCCACTATGGAGAGTTTGTGGAGAAGAGGTAGCTCTCTCTGGCTCAGATGTAAAGGAATTTGGACATGCTCAAAGGCAAGTGTGGAGTAGTAGAAGTATCGAGGAACCGGGTGCTGGTGGCTCACACCTGTAATCTTAACTATGAGTCTGAGGGCTGAGAATTGACGTTCAGAGCCAGCCTAGACAGGAAAGTGCATGAGACTATTATCTCCAATCAACCACCTAAAACACACACACACACATATCCAGGAGTTCCCTAAACTGATAATCTAGATATCCTCTGCGCGCGCGCGCGCACACACACACACACACACACACACACACACACACACATCCAGGGGTTCCCTAAACTGATAATCTAGATATCTGCTGCACACACACATACACACACGCACACATGCATGCACACGCACGCACACACACACATCCAGGGGTTCCCTAAACTGATAATCTAGATACCTGCTGCACACACACACGCACGCACACATGCACACACGCACACACATATATCCAGGGGTTCCCTAAACTGATAATCTAGATATCCTTTGGCCTTTCTCAGCATGCGGTTGTCCATTCTGACCCCACGACTTGAGGTAAGCAGCTGCACGCTGCCAGCGGCCAGTGGAACAGGAAGCATAACTGGCCCCTTACTTTCCTTCCAGGGTCCTCTTGCCCCAGGACTGTCCGGGCTTAGTCTGCTTCCTGTTCTACTTGCTCAGTGTACTTCTGTTCCACATCTGTGAGCGATGTGATTCCACGATCTGTCTGCAAGCTCGCCGTCTCCGTAGCTCACTCTCTGTTCCTGAGGGCTTTGGGAGACCTTTCTAACTGCTACCTTGGCTCTTGGGAGACTTAGAGGGGTAAATTCCTTAAAGAGAGACCTTAAAACCAAATATTAGTGAATTGTTTAAAAGTAGACTTAAAAAGGCCCACACCATTCCTGAAGAATTTGATGTATGATTTTAGTTTTTTTCTTTGTTTTTCTGGAAAAGTCTCAAATGCTTACCAAAACAATGAAAGGTAAAGGTATAAGCCCTATTTGAAGAACCTTGTTTTATATGTGTGTAGACCTTTTTTCTTCTTCTTCTTTTTACCAGTGTTGAGTTGTATATACTTGTCTCCTCACTGGTACACTTCAGAGACTATGTGGTGGGTGCCTTAGGATGACCCCGGTTTCAACACAGTTTTCAGTCGAAGTGGAATAGTCTTCACCTGAGCTGTTAGTACCTGGTTGCCTAGTTTTACGGTCGGTGGCTGGCGAAACACTGTGGTTTGGGATTAGTTGCCACTGGACTTGACACTTCTGGCACCCGCGCCCACACCGTGAAGGGCAGGCATTGTGTATTGTGAGGGAAGGCCAGTGCTGGCCAATCTCACTCAGCCTCTCAAATCCCTGGAGACAGAGCTTGATGCTGGCCTCCTCTCCTAGCACGGCTGCACAGTCTCTTCCTGGGCCCCTCACCTCAGGAGTGTGCTGAAAAGAGTACAAGAAACCACCGGTTGATTGGCTGCAAAAAAATCCTTCCAAGCCGGGCGCCGGTGGCTCATGCCTGTCATCCTAGCTACTCAGGAGGCTGAGATGATCACGGTTCAGAGCCAGCCCTGGCAGGAAAATCTGTGAGACTCTTATCTCCAGTGAACCACTCAGAAAACCAGAAGTGGTGCTGTGCTCAAGTGGTAGAGTGCTGGAAGTGGCGCTGTAGCTCAAGTGGTAGAGCACTTGCCTTGAGCTGAAGAGCTGAGGGACAGCGCCCAGGCCCAGAGTTCAAGCCCCATGACTGACAAAACAAAAAAAAATCCTTCCACCTCTACCAGCCCCTTTTCCTGTGTTTAGTCCTGGGAACTAAAGGTTTCTCCTGACCGGGGAGTGGTGGGGGGGAGAGGGGAGTGTCAACTGGACTAGTAGAGTTCCTCAAAGACAGATGGGGGGAATAAGTCCCAAGGGCTGAAGAAACAAGAGGAGTGCACATACCAGCTTTCAAAGGCTGGAGCCAGATGAGAACTGTCTGTTGCCGGAAGTCCTGCCCGGAAGGACAGAGCCAGGGGCTGTCGTCATGAGAGGAGGGTGTCTGGGAGTTTCCTTTGGAAGCCTGGATACTTGAAGATTGTTCACCTGTGTAGCCTGCCTCACAGTGATTTGACAAGCCCCCCACCCCCACCCCCTGTCCCACCCCTACCTGTCTCTGGTGGCTCCATGTCCCTCCATGTCCCCACTCCTCCTCATACTGTGCTCATAACTAACTCACCTTTGGAACATAGTGCTTCTACACAGCTCTGGCCAAAGCTGTAGGGGGTCCAGGCAAACCCCGCCCCTTCCCCATGATTTCACCCAATGGGAGCATGTGCTGCTGGCTCAAGACTGCCCACTGGACCAAGCACACTGCTTCACAGGGGCTTGGTGTCCTCTCATTGCAGTCAGGAGCAACTGGGAAAACCTGGGGGCAAACCTGTTTTCCCCCACCATCTAAATAATCCCTAGCAGCTAGCCATCAGGAAAGTTGGATTAACCAGGTATCTAAGACACCCTATCTCTGGCCTGGAGCCTGACATTTTGCTGCCACTTGACTTCAGACTTCCAATAGAGCCCTTATGATCCTATTAGCATGGCTAAAATGGAAAGGACTGATGTTACAAAATGCTGGCAGGACGTAGAAAGACCGAGTCTCTTACACTGCTGGTGAGAAGGTAAAATGGGGCAGCCATTCTTAGAAGTAGTTTGACAGTGTCATAAAATCAAACATACACTTACCCTGCTCTCCAGCAAGCTGCTCCTGGATATTTACCCGGGAGAAAGAAAAGCGTATGTTCACACAACAACTTGTGCATGAATGCTCATGGCGGCTTCGTTGGTAATAGCAAAACACGGGAAGCCAGCCAGGTGTCATTCACCAGATGAATAGATAAGGAGCTGCAGCCCATCTCCACCCCGGAATACTATTCAGCAAACAAGCCCCGGACTGCCACAACCTGAGTGAGTCACAGGGGCATGAGGCTGGGGGGAAGAACGCCACGCTTAAAGGCTCTGTTGCTGCCCAGTGTCTTCCGAGTCTCCAGATTGCAGGGATGGAGAGCGGCCTGACAGCTAGCCGCCAAGGGTCAGAATTAGGGGACTGCGTGATGGTGGTGATGCTTGCTGAGAACTGTATGTACATGGATAGACTTCATGAACATAGGCTCACAGGGCGCCTGCAAAACCACACGAAAATGCATGGGATCTGTGCCTGAGCTAGTAATTGTACCACGTCCATGGCTTGACTTAGACATTGTGCTATAGCTTGTAAGATATCCCTGGGAAGCTCATAGAACTCATAAATGTTATAGACCATGATAGACAATTTGCTCCATGAAAGTTAGAATGTGTTTGTGAGTTTAACTAAGCATCACTATCCCACAATACTGTGAAATTTGGGAAATTATGTAACCATTAATCGCAATAAAAAATTGGAAAAAGGCATCACTGAGGAAATACTACATTTGCTATTACACGTGCTAGACTTTGTGGGGCGGTCGTGGTGGTCCTGTGCCACTTGAGCCACACCTCCAGCTCGTTCTGCTTTAGTTACATTTCAAATAGGATCTCATGCTTCGTGCTTTAGGCTGGTCTCAGACCATGGTCCTCCCATCTCTGCCTCCTGTATATAGCTGGCATTACAGACATGAACCATTATACCTACTTTGTTCTTTGAGATAGAGTCTCACTAGCTGTTTCTCACAAACCAGCTTCAAACCACGGTCCTTCTCTCTACCTCTGAAGCATCTGTGATTATACGTATGCACCACCATGCCTGCCATCTCAGCTATGCCAGAAGCCTAACTAACAAGATG